AATGAAATCCACAGCATTGTGACAGCTGTGGAGAAAAATAAGACTATTTGAGCCTTTGTAATAAATAGTGGTAGGGTTTTTTTCATAGAGTCTGTGTCAGAAGGGTGTTGCTTTTCCAGTGTCTTTCTGCAGCTCTGCTTCCCCCAGTGAAAAGTAAGATGATGCGCTATAGGAAGGGACTCATGGGAGGCATGAAATCTGTACGTATAACATAAACTGGGAAAATACATTTAGGATCTTTATTTCCTTCTAGGGGGAAGATTTGCATTTTCAAAATGCTGCTGGCAAGTAACATGAAAACTACAAATAACTTGCCATTGTAGTTTATACTAGTTCATAATGATCATATATCTGACTTCTCTGCAAATGTTTGCATGCTTCAGAAAGCATCTACTTTTTACCTTGTGGCAGAACTAGCCATAAATGGGGGAGATAAACGTATTTAAACCTGCACAACCCGTTCTCGTTCATTGGGAGTAAGCCCTTAGGAGACAGGGAGAGTCTTGGACCATTGCTTTGGGACCAGTTACACATTGCTGATGATTCATTGTGGAGGTGGGTTTGTACAGGGATTCTACTGCTGGTGTGGGACAGGAAAGAGGAGCAAGAGAATTTCGGGATTAGGAAGAGCCTGGTGTTCTCTCTGTATTGGTAGTTTTTTTCTGTTGTGCAGCTGGCATTTATAACTACAGAGAGTGCCAGTGCTCCTGATTTTGCTGCTTCTTTTTTCTTCTTTCTTTTTTTTAATACAAGCAACAAAAGTGAAGTCTGAAACTATCCAGGTTTGCTAATATTTATGATTATCATTACATATTACGTTATCATAACAGAACATAGAGGTATTCAAAAAGCCCCTGTAATTGCTCAGATACTGCTCGGATGAGAGCTCCTTTCTGTACTCTCCATGTCATGACTAAATATCTCTCATATCCCCTTGCAAGGGAAATTGTGTAGGCAGTATAGTTTTCATTTGGATTAAGTTTTGGTACTTTGAAAAGATTGGGAAACAGAGACTGAATTGAAAGTGTGAGTTTGTTTATTTCTTCATAAGTTTAGTGGGAATTATAGCATTCAGGTTTTTTTTCAGCAGATTGTCCCTATTGTGTTTGTCAAAGTACAGTTGTGTGATGTTTGTACTAAATAACCTCTAAGGAAATGGGAATGATGAGAAAGCTTCCTGTAATAAACTTAAAGGTATCACTTCGGTGAGCTAGAGCATTGGGAACGTTTTTTTTTCCCCACTTTCCTGTTCTGGATTTTTTTTGCCAGCTGAAATCTGTTGACAAACTGTTTTCCTGAAAACTACTAATCATTATTGTCTACTTTCTTCCTTATTTTTTCTAGGAGAAGGAAAGTTTCTAAAGACAGCCTTGTGTTTTTCCTACCGTATTTGTGTCAGTGTAATAGCAGATTTTTGTCCTGAGCTGTGTGCTTTGGAGAAGCAAAATTGTATTTGTGTTCCTGAAAAAGTTAGTCTTATGGGAGAGGGTGGTGTGTGTGGAACAAAAACCCACCCCCAGAAAACAACCAGCCAAATGTGGCCTGGACAGCTCAAAGAACCTGAACTAAAACTCACTTATGCTCAGCCAAAGTCTGTTTGAATTTTATGCTGTAATAGAAAAAAACGATTGCTTTAATTGACCTCTAGCAGAACAATTTTTATTTGGAGGAACTGTGGTAAATAATGCAGGAAATTGGTTTCTCAAACTGATTTAGGAAGGATTACTGGGACGGGAATTAAGGGATGGAGGAAGGATGAGGAGGACAAGTGTGCAAAAGGGAATGAAGAGGATGTGTACCATGGTGGCAGGGGACAAAGTCTCAGGCCTCACAGTGGTCGTGGGGAGTGGATAAAAGGGGGTGGAATGTAGGGAGAGGATAGTGGTAGATGACAGACACAAGTGGGGGCAACTAGCTATGAAAATCACTGGCAGCAAGCTTCAGTGCTCCAGCATGCTTGCACACCAGGGGTTCCTGTCATGCTAGGAATTTTTGCATTTCACCTACCCGAATGTTGTAGGACATAGAAAGGCTTTATCTTATCATCATGGTATAAAACTTCTAGTGGTAGAAGCTATATATATGTTGATGTGTGGCAAAACAGAGAAAAAAAAGCAGTCTTCCCCTCCACCCCCTGTGCCCCCAGCTCCAGAAATCGTCAACAATCACCAGATTGCACCAAATTGTTAAAATTTGGGAATGTAGCTTGTCTTCTCTGAGTAGTAGCTACGTTGTGCATTTATTTGAATGCTCACCTGTAATCCTAAAGCCTTTAGAAAAATGAGTATGTAGCAGTGCTAACATTTGTAACCACTTCAGCTTCACTGAGTTAGGATGGACATCCTTTTTTACAATCCCCTGTGTGAATGTTCAGTAATTCCTGAAAGTTGCATTTTTTTTTAAACTTTAAACACTCCCAACTTCCCCCTAACAAATAAATCATTAATGCATAGTTAATGTTTTCCTTGTAGCCTCTTCTGCCATTCCAAAGTGTTGATCAAAATATATTTTTTGAAAACTAAAAAAAAAAAAAAAAGCCTCAAAGTATCTGCTGAGTTTGGTTGTGTTGGGTGATACCATAAATGTGTAACAAATATACTCTAGGTAGGTATTCTTGTAGAACCCTTAACAAAGGCCTGCTTGTCTCCTCTGATAATTTTCCAGAATGTATGTTCAGTGTGAGCTAAGAGATCGTTAGTAAGTCTTCAATTGGAATTTTCTGTGGTACTACCAAATTGTATACTAAATTTGTTTCTATAATAAGAAAATTGTAAATTGGTAGACAGTGTCAAAAAATGTGTGTGTCCTGCTTCTAGTTTACTGCTCTATGTTCTCACAGCTATACTTCGCTTAGCGTTAGATTTTTAGTCCTTCTTTCTTTTTTTTTTTTTTTACAAATTCCAGTTCCTTGCCAGATACCTGACAACCGAGAACCTTTGAAATTTAAAATCAGTTGCTCTTTGTCTTGCGCTTACTGTTTTGTTGTTACATTGTCTCAAATATTATCCACATGTTGTTGAAATGCACCAAACTCTCCACAATCTTTGGCTACTTCTGCATGTTGATGCTGCTTTCCTATGTTCTGGAGTTCTCTTTACAATACAGAAACTTAGAGAAGTATCCCTGGAGAGAAAAGGTTTTTTCTTCTGTAGTGGGTTCCTCTCTGAGATTAGTAAAAGGATGATTAGTAATGTAGGTAAAGGTAGCAGGGATATTCATTAGAGAAAAGGGGGGATGCAGGTCGGTTGCATGAAGCAGTGTTTCTCAGACTTTTAAGTCGAACGATTGTCCATGAGAGGGAAGGAAAGCTTTTCTCTAGTAGTTCTTATAAAAATTGAGTTCCCTTACATAGTTAAAAGTATGTGATCTTTTAAAAAATAGTCCATTAATTGTGTTAAAGGCTTCCAGCTCAGCTGTTTCCAACGTAACTGTTAAACATCCAGGCAGCAATGTCTTTGTGCAACTCCTAACTGTAGTTTATCTTCTTTATTCAAATCTGTTATTGATACTGTGCATTACCACTTCTTGGCATCCATATAAGAGTGTAGAAGCTAACTAAATGTAATGAAATTGTTAGAGATAGATGTTTTCTAATTGTTTGCAAAAGAAGCAGCCCTGTCACTGGTTTTTTTTGGCTTTAGAGTAGGGATGGGTTTATTTAAATTTATTTAAATTTAAAAAGTCAAGAAAATTTACTATTATGAAAATGTCTATACAAGCTAAGGGATTTGCATTATGTTCTGTAACAGGAGTGACCTTAGAAGAAATCTTGCGTGGTATGAAATAGATATCTGTTGAAAGTAAAAGTCATTCTGTGTAAATTTCAACGTCTGTAGATACTTAATCAGTTCCCTTCGCTTTTTCCTTCTGTGTGGTACTTTCATTTTGCATTTTTTTTTTTGTGCTGTTGGATAGCAAGTGCAATCTAAATTATCTAGCACAAACAAATTGACAGTATGCAAAATTGCTAAGTGCTCTTGTTCCTTGTGCTCTTTCCTTGAACTAGGTTTATAAGTAACAGACAGGGATATCTTTGAAGTAGTGCTGAGTAGGAGGGCTACTGAACTTAGAATCTGCTTTTTCTTGCATGCTTGAGCTTATTTTGAGATAATCAGAGTTTACCGTTCATAAATAAAGCTGTTAAGAAAACTTAGATAAATCAAAAACTAGCATGGTGTTTATTGATTTTCCCATTCCACTCAGTACACAGTGTAACAAATATGTGATGTGAATTTTTTGTTGTTGTTGTTGTTGTTGTTTGGGGTCATCTCTTGGGAATCTATAAAATATGCTTATTCTTCTAGGAAGCTTTTGTCAAATACAAACATTTTGTAGTTGGCAGGACTTATACATAAATGCTTATTTAAAAGAAGAACTGTTTCATAAGTGCCTTTTCTACACAGTTTATTCCCCAGATATGCCTTCACGGCTTCCAATCCAAGACATCTTTGCTGGACTGGTTACGAGTATTGGCACAGCAATACGATACTGGTTTCATTATACACTTGTGGCCTTTGCATGGTTGGGAGTAGTACCTCTTACTGCATGTAAGTATTAATTTTTTGTACCGTAATACTCTTATAGGCAGGAAAATATGTCACTTCCTGCAACAGTGTTGTGAGGCCATTGTTGGTTTGTTTAAATAAAACAAATCATTAAGTGAAATAATGTCTTTGAATTTTTTTCACTCGGAAGTTCTAGCTATTTGACTCTTAAGCCAGTAGTCCAATGCAGGAAGGTGTTAAGAAATAGAAGAAAATGCATAAAAGGGTTTTTAAACTTCTTATTCTAATAAAATGCTTCTTCTCAATTATCTTCTTTAAAATCTGCATGGAAGTTTTTATTTGATACCATATATTAATATTAGATTAGAAGAATTGTCCTGTTTTTTCTAACCATCTATAAATGAAAGCGCAATATTTTTTTTTATATGAAAAGTGAAATTCCTTTATAGTCATACATAAATTGATTAGTAATAAACTCTACTACTATAAGTAGAAAAAGAGGGCACATACTTAAATTACTGTGGTATCCAGTTTGAAATTCACTCTTCAGATACAAATGTAAAGAGAACTATTGATGTTTCAACAAGCTAAAAATATAAAGATGAAAAAAGGCAAAAGCGATATAGTGTTCAGTCAAAGAAATGATTAGAAGTGCATCTTTACAAGCAGTAATATACCCCTTGAACAAAAGAGCAGGGAGCCAGTAAATGCATTTCCCTAGACAGTTTGTCAGTATGTTCTGTGCTTTTATTTGTAGCTGGCACTGGCTTAGTTTGAGAATAGCACAATATTGGTATCAGCTATAAAAGACTGATCCTGTTTCTGCAGCCTGTCCTTCCTGTGCAAGAAAAAGCTTTTCTGGGCACGGAGTAAGCAAGACTTGCATTGAAACTAAAAAATATTTCAATTTCTTCCTTGTGTTTTTAGACAAATCTTGGTTTTCTACCGTTGTCTTTCAAAATACAAATGTTGTACACTTTTCTTACTAAAATTTCTAAAGGACAGCAAAATCATATTCAATAGATTAATTAAGGTAGTTATGTTTCATAACTGTCTGAAAACCCGATGCTGGCTCCTCAGTAATACTGAAATGTTGCCTGAAGTCACCACCTACAACTTAGTTACATAGTTTTGTGGTGGTTGTTTTTTGTTTTTGTTTTTTTTTTACAAATGTCATTTTTGTTTTTTAATACTCATTTACTAAGCCAACATAACTGACTTATGATTTTTGATTTATGAGTGACTGGTTTTTTTACTTTGTCATAATTCCTAACATTGCACATGTACCCCTGTTTATGGATTCCTTTAAGAACTAATGTACTGTGATGATAGAGCCATTCAGTCTAACAAACCTTGAAAAATCCATTTACTTCTTAAATTTGTCAGGATCTGTCTTGTGGATGTGATTTTTGTATAGGTCTTGTCTTCTTACATTAAATGCCTTTAATGTAATCTTTAATTTTCTGTAATATTTAAATACTTCTCAATGTAATCTTTTGCCTTCCCCATTTCTGTCATATGGCTCACATAATGATGTGTGGCTGGCTTCGCAAGGAAGTATTCTTCTCATTATTTTATATCTGGAAGAAAAAAGTGCAGCATAAAAATCTTATCAAACGTACCAAAGGAGATGTAGGGTTGAACAAATTTGTCTTCCAGATTAACGTGCTAGTCATGCAGTTATCCCATTGTTGGATAAATTCTACATTCTTTTTTGGTAATTTCACTTCTTTATTGCATACCCATCTTATATGGTTGAGTAAAAGGAATTTATTTCCCTGTGCATACCCTCAGCCTAATCCCAGCAGGCTCTGATACGCTATTGCTATTCTGTTAGCACAAAGCATATTTACATTAGTGGATGAAAAAAGGCCAGTTATACAGCTTGCTTGGATCTGTTCAGAGAAGTAGGATTAATTGGGCCAATTTATTCCAAAGTTATTTTATTCTCTGTGATAATTGTATTTAGCTGCATGGTTCCTAAGGAGAAATACCCAAGGTACCTATACAGTACATGGGGTAAGAAACAGGTGTACACGCTGAGTAAAGTGAATGTATACACTGAGGCAGTAGGAAATGCTAGAGTGGGAGTAGGGTTGTCCGAAGTGCTTCCTTTATCTCGAATTTTAGAAATCACTGTTCACACACCGATATGGCACATAAATGTATTTTTCTGGAGTGATTCAGTTGCCATTTAAAAAAAAAAAAAAAACAGCATAGCTGAAGAGAATGGTTGTATACCTGTTTCGTGTAATTGTATAGTGGTTAAAATTGTAGAGGTGTGTAATAGAACTACTTAAATTGGCATGAGTAGAGTATGAATGGAATTGTATGCGTGAGCACCAGCAGAAACAGCAGAAGGGCTAAAAGGAGTATTTGCTGTTTGCCAGAGAGCACTGTATATGTGATTTCATTCAAATCAAGAGGGAAAACAAACAGACTAAAGATAAAGTGTCAAGAAGATGAAGAACAGGACTGGAGTCATAAGATATACAGATAAGGAGAACAGGAGAACTGTGAATTTTGCCTCAGGCTCAAGAGGGATGAAAGAAAACAGTGAGGTAAAGATCCCAAATGACATCCACTCATGAAGAGTATGAAAGGCAAGTCTAAAATCAGTTCATAAATGCCAATCAACAAGAATCCAAGAGATATGATGAGCTGGTGTCCTTTGTCTTCAGTGTTGCTCACAAGTGATGCTGTCCAGACCACTTGGGCATACATATCTTAGTACTTGTATGAGAGTGAGCAAGTGAAATCTGTGAGGAAAAATAGTTTGCTTAGAGATCAATTTGCTTAGAGATCTTGTGTAATAAAATCCCCTTCCTATTCCATAAAATCTCACAGTGAGTTTTGTTACACTGGTTTCCTACCAGTGCAGTGTAATTGAGAGTTACAAGGCTTGTGTTCTTTGACCTTTTCAGCCTGGCAGAGTTCTCAGCGGTATCTTGCCCCTTTGAAGCTCCCCCACCATGTAGCTAGATAGTAGGCAGAGGCAAACTATTAAAACTCACTGGCAGCAGAGGATCAGTATCATCTTGCTAAATTTGATTCAGTGACTGTTCAATATAAAATGTGTAAGTAGTACTGACTACAATGAGACTGAACATTTTCATTAGATCAGCTACAGCCATTTTCTCTTTTGTGTTCTAACTAACTCTAGACCTTTGAATTTTGTAGTATTATTTTGTATTATTTTCTGTCCAATATCAGAACTTCAGTGGGAGGGATGGATTGCACTAGGGATGTAAGTGTTAACTTCCTCCAAGTGCTGTATTATGTCTTATATAAAAGATGAGCATAAACTGTAGCCCTTTGGGGCATTTCTGGTGGATTGACTCGTGAGAGATGCAGAAACATAAACTTTCTGTAAGTTCCAAACAGGTTTAACCAAGAGGTAATTACTGAGCTATTTATTCTAGGTCGCAGAAACCATAGTGTGCTAGTATATACTTGCGTACCTATGCCTGCCTAAAGGGTGAAATGAGAATCTTAAGAATTACATTTCTGGGTATGGGTGCCTTAATTCTTCCCTCATGCTGTTCTGAGCATCTGTGTCAGCCTCCTGTGGATCTGAACCTAATTTTCTGAAGTAGACTATATACACCGATAACCTACTTTTAAGATTATGTGACTGAAGAATCGTGGTAAAAAGCTAACATTAACTAGCATCGAGTATTAATCCATAAAACAATTATTTAAAACAGATAATGAAATGGTGAGACTCCTTGCTACAAGATATCATAATACTGAAAGTTCATACAGGTTCAAAATATGATTGAACAAATTAATGGGGGGGGGCAATCCATCAAGGATTAATTAGCACTGAGATATTATGGCACAGGAACTGAGCTGCTTATCGTGAAGCATATGAGAGTGTACTGAGGAAGTATTGCTGCAAGCATCTTTAACTTGCTTCCATGTTCTTCCTTAGGCATCTGTTGGTGTGACCAGTGCTGGAGGCTGGGTCTAACTTAGTATGGCAATTCTTACACTTTGAATGTATACTTTATCAAGAGTGTTCAGTTAAACAATAAATACAGCTTTGTTCCATGTGGTTGTATGTGGTCTTGAGTTCTGTTAGTTCACTAAAAGTTGAGATTTTTTTCCTTGTCATAAATTTACTTAGGACACCAGGTGAAAAGAGGGTACCTATGGTCCTTTCCAAGTGAAGCTATCACCAAAATCGAATTTATACCATAATTCTGTTTCTTCATGCAGGTCGTATCTACAAGTGCTTGTTTACTGGCTCTGTGAGCTCACTACTGACACTGCCATTAGATATTCTGTCAACGTAAGTACTTAAACAGCTCAATACAAATAACTTTTCTAGTCAGGTTTCACTGTGAAAATGGTTGCTTTGGAACTTAGTGTCCCTTTCTTCCAGTTATGCTTGTTATTCTTCCATCATCTTATGAGAGCAGCTGCCCATTACCCTTTGCATAACAAGATGTATGGCCAACAGTATTCCAGTAGAAATTATTTCACTTTGAAGTTCTGTTATTCAGGATCTTTGGAGATGGAAAACTGACTTTTCATTTACCAGGGCCCATTTTGTAGATTTGTATTTGATGTCAAAAAAACTTAGGCTGCAAAATTACACTTAATAATTTAAAAAATTAATTTCCTACAGTTTAAATCAGATGCCACATAGCAGAATATTAATATATATTGCTAATAATATTAATGTCACATTCTGCTTTGTTACATTTTCATATTTTGAATTTAATTTTATCCATCCTGAGCCTCTTATGTGATAAGGATTTTTTTTTTTTATTGGATTGCCTTCTAGCTGACATTTAGATTTTAGTGCTTCGATCACCATATGCTATTGAATATTGCCTATCTTTGTCTTTTTAAAATCAATATTACTTAAAGAATTGGTAAATACCAACACAACAGAGTTTCAGGCTGGTTCTTACTTTTTTCATTGTCTTGAACCTGAGGAACTGAAACTCGGTTTGAGTAGAATCAGTTGCAAGTCAAGCAAATTTTGAATGAATGGTTCAGCTAAGTCATCTCAGCTGGGCTATTTGATTAGAGACATCATGTCATGTTATGTTTAATTAATTTTTATTAATGGAGGGAGATGCTTGCTTGAGATTAATAACAGTATTTTTCCTGCTATCTCCCAGTAAGTGTAGATTTTATTTTTATTTTTCTGAGAAGAATCTGAAACAACTGAACCTAGAGCACCTCTTCTCCTGTCTTTTACAGTCTAGGCGAGAAAATAAGGGACTCAAGTATGTGTCAGATTTTAATGGCATGTGAAGCTGTGCTTTGACATGTATTTCTTTGGCAGAGACAATTTCAATAGCATCTTGTGTCATCTTTTCATTTTGGACTTCTTGTCCCCATGGTATTCACTGTGCTGTGCAGGCACAAGTGTTTGTGCAGCTGCATGGAGAGCCAGACAGATACTTCTTTGGGGATGGCAGAGTGCTGTGGTGGTGTATTTCTTACTTATTTTAAAGAACGCATTGCAGTTGGTTAGTTTCCTGAGCAAACTCACTGTGGTCAAGGAGTAGTGCAAGGGTGGAAACAAGTGGGAGGAGGTATCTGGAATTAGGGATGAGGGTTGCTTAAGCCAATTTAAGTACTTCTTGCATTGCATGAAACCCTAGTTTCAGTTGGCTAACTGAACTTCATTTTGCTGCTGTTTTACTGTTATAGATGACTTGATAGATTAGGATTTATAAAGTATAGGGATAATATCTGGGGTAAAAGACTACCCGAAATGTAGAGCAGTCGAAGGCAAACCCTGCAGTTCCGTTCTTTTGGTTAGGGTAGCTCAGCAGACAAAATGCTTCAGTGGACTGGGTATTATGCATCTAGCCATTTAAACAGATCTTTTACTGTAGTAGATCATTTATTTAGTGAATACTATGTTTCCTTTGCTATTCTTGCAGATTGTTTTTCCTGAACTACTCTTGAAGCTTTTCTTCATATTGAGTCAGATCTTGTTTTGCAGGAATATTTATGTTTAAACAGTAGTAATTTCACAAACCAAACCAGAGGGAAATAAAACCTTTCCAAATCAGTGTTTATCTTGGCACTTAAAACCATTTGTACACAGGTACATACAGCCTTCCTAAAAGAAACCTTCTTTGAATGGATTTTTTTTATATTAAAAAAAAAATTATGTCTAGATACTTTCTTCACCTAGAGACATAAATAAATTCAGCTTTTTGCCCAAATACCAGTTTATTTGTTGGTTTGGACGAGGAGCATCTGGTTGTGGTAGTTAACAGTGACTAAGTTTAGTCTTATTAGCAAAATATATTTGTCATTATTTTTTTTTTCTTTCTTTAACAGGGAGAACTTACTGGCTGACTGTTTGCAGGGCTGTTTTGTGGTAACATGCACTCTGTGTGCATTTATCAGCCTTGTTTGGTTACGTGAACAGATCGTCCATGGAGGAGCACCACAGTGGTTGGAACAAAATCAGCAACAGCCACTCAATGGTGTTGGTCAACAAAATGAGGTAAAACTTAACTGCTCAGTAGTTCATGATAACCTTAGAAAATGTGTTTTTGTGAATAAATACATTATCAGAACCAAACAGTAATGTTATTTTACTGCAGGGTATCTTTATTTGTACATTAGCAGAAGTTGAACATGTGCTCCTGTATAAACTCAGTGACACCACTGTTACATTTTTGAAGTTCTATAAAATGGAACGTTAATGGATTTGTTTAGTATATTTTAGTAGTATATTTTTTGTATATAATAGTATATAGTATATAATAATAGTATATAGTATAAAATATATTATATATAGTACTATATACTATATAATAATACTATATATTATAAAATAATAGTATATTTTTTGTAAAGTAACTTTAACATTGTTTAGATTCTTATGTCTGTATCTTTACGCTTTTTAAAGATAATTTTGTGCGTATAAAACTGAATTGTCAGCCATAGTCAATGAAGATGCAGCTTGCTTTTATCTTGTCTTTCTCATAAGTATTTCAGTAGTTCATGAGGTAACAATTCACTGTTCTCAAAACAGCTGGAGGTTTTGTTGAAACCTCTGAAGCTGGAGCTTCTCTGCCCTCTCAACACACACACATGCACCCCTTTAGTGCTTACAGGAGCCTCTTGGGCAGGAGAAGAGGTGATATAAGCAATACATGCATAGGGGGAAATAATTAAAATTTTGTTTTCCCTTGTAATAAATGTCAATTTTTTAAAGACAGAGATAGAGATCTTCAGCTTGATGACTGACTTGGTTTGTCCTTGAATGACCATCTTTCTAATATAATGATAGTTTTCATAAGATCAAGAGAGTTCCCCTCTTTTGAGCACTGGTGAGACCACATCTGGAGTGCTGTATCCAGTTCTAGGCTCCCTCAGAACAAAAGAGACATGGACTTACTGGAGTGAGTGCAGTGAAGAGCCAACAAAAATGATTAAAGGACCGGAGCATTTGACATACAATGAGAGGCTGAGAGAGCTGGAACTGTTCAGCCTGGGGATGAGAAGACTCAGGGTGACCTTATCAGTGTGTATAAATGCCTGATGGGAGGCTGTAAAGAAGACGGGGCCAGAGTCATCTTGGTACTGTTGAGTGACAGGACAACAGGCAATAGGCTCAAATTAAAATACAGGAAATTCCATTTTGACACAAAAAAAAAAACAAAACCAACACCAACCCCCGCCCCTCCCCCCCAAAAAAAAACCAACCCCCACAAATGCAACCAAAACCCATCCAGCACAAAAAAAACGTGGTTTTTTTTGTTTGGTTGGGTTTTTTTTTTGCTGTACGTGTGATCAACTACTGGAACAGGTTGCTCAGAGAGGTGGTGAAGTAACTCCATCTCTGGAGTTACTCAGAAGCCAACTGGAAACAGCACTGAGCAACCTGCTCTAGCTGACCCGGCTTTTAGTAGGTGGCTTGACTTGACAATCTCTAGAGGCCCTTTCCAACCTCAGCTACTCTGTGAAGAAGTCTGAATGTTTCTCTTCCTCTTTTAAAAGGTTTAGTGGTTCCAAATTTAATGCTTATGTAAAAAAAATACATTATTAACATTTTTTCAATACTATTCATTTTTTCTATATACAGGATAAAAGTACAGAGAGAAGTTGATCAAGTTAACTGAATGCTAAATCCTGTTTCTGCAGGCTCAGGCTGTTGTAAATGGAGGTGTTGAAAACGCTGTGCTTGATCAACCTGCTAACCCGGCTCCTGAGAATGTAGTTGTAGGTGAGAACCCTGAAATTCAAGAAGAACAAGTAGATGAAGAGGAGGAGGATAATGAAGATGAAGAAGATGCTGTAGTAGAAGATGCAGCAGATGCAAACAATGGAGCACAAGGTAACAGGTGACTCAAAACAGTAATGTTCTAGTTCTTTTTAAATACAAATGAAACCATTGAAAATAGAACTGTCATAATTCAAGGAAGCTGTGCAAATTCCCAGTTCAGCTTATTTATCTTGTTTTTGCAAATTTCGTATATTTCTTTTGAGTGCTGAAGCATTTGCTTGCTGAAAAGCTATCAGCAGTTATGAGTGGAATGTTATGCACTTAAGTCTTTTTGTTCATTTAAAACATAGCACGGAGTGGTTACATCTTGTTTTGGCTGAGTCTAACAGCTGTAAAAATGGCCATTGTCTCCTCAGATGACATGAACTGGAATGCTTTGGAGTGGGATCGAGCAGCAGAAGAGCTTACTTGGGAGCGAGTGAGTAAGAATCATGTTCTTGAATTGAATAAATCAGACACATACTCGAAATGACTTGTAGTATTGTAACCATTTGGGATAGGTTTGGATACTGTTGTCTAGTATGAAAACTATCAGTAAGAGGCTTTAGTGACCTAAAAAAGACATTATATTAAAAACAAAATGTTATTATGCTACTTGTTAACTATCAAAAAGGCATTTCTTTGATTTGAAACGTAGTAGCAGCTTAAAACATGTTTTAGCACAGACTTTTCTGAAGTCTTCAACTTGGGCAGGTTTAGAGATGAATTGCAGCTTGTATTGAGGATGCTAGGTCAGATTAGGAGCACATAGGTGTTGGCGTTATGTATAGTTTAATGGTTAATTTTTGTATTCATGAAAGCGTTAAACTAAAGAAAATAGAGAACCAGAAATTTTGGTTAATTTACTTTATTTACATGTTTGCAAAAGACAAGTGTATTTCTTAAAAAATGACGGAGCATTTTAATGTAACATTGCTTCTGTTTTGTTTATGGATCACAAATTCCATAATTAGAGCATGAGATGCATGTACACAGTAATCATAGAGTAGTGTACAGACTCAAGAAGTAGTTTTTTTGTAGCTGGTTTAGAAGAAGCCAGTGTCTGAGTTCAAAGCTCACCATATGCAGCAAAATCTACCTGACGGTAGGTGCAGCAGCTTCATGTGATTTACCAGCGTCTCTAGTGCCTACGGCAGACAGTTGTAAAGCTAGTCACTGTATTCCTAGGCTGTGATATAGTTGTTGCCTTGATTGCAGTGTAGTAGAAATACAGTTTTCATCACAAGGGACAGGTCTTGATCTTTGTTTTGTGTCTAGTGAAAGCTTCTTCATTTGTTTTGAAAGATAAAGATGTTTAGTGGAAAAGGGCATATGTAGATTCAGGTTTCTGAACCATTCTACTATGTATCTCAAGATGAAGGTGTTATATTTCTGAACCCAATTTATGTGCTGGGAAATGCTGATGTACTCCTAATTGAAAATATTGTGCTGCCTCTCTATGAATATAGAAACCGGTTTCAGCAAACCCTTACAACCATTTCCAACCCTATGTGCTGGCGTAGGCAATAGACATCTAGTTGGCAATCAGTATCAAAGGTGGGGTGGGGTGGGTTTTTCTGCTATTTTATCTTGTGAAAATAGCATGCAAGCTTTCTCAATTTTCAGAAGTATTTGCATCTAGGTTTACTTTGTAAAATATGTGCAACTTTAATATCTTGAAACTTAGTGCAAAATCCTGGTACAAAATAGCCTTGAACCTCGTAATTTACAGCAGTAGTTGTGGAGTAGGAGTGTCTGGATTGAAATAGTAAGAAATCCTCGATTTGGGGGGGGAAAGGAGCGTTATTGGGGTTTGGTTTTTTGGTTTTTGTTTTAATAGATGCTCTATTTTTGGCTGTTCTGTGGATGTTTCCCATAACAGCTGTGCAGAGTGATGGAGGATTTGTTTCCTGTCTTCCCTAGCTGTAACCAATTATGTCCTGAAGTTAATAACATACAGTGTAGCAACATTATCCTGTTACTAGTTGCTTTTATACATTGAAAGTAAAATATTAAGCTTTGACTTTTCTCAGTGCAATGTAAACTGATACTTTGCAGTCAGGAAGCAAAAAAAAAAAAATCACTCTTGTATTTTAATAGAGTTGTTTAAACATGTTTTTAAATAACAGTTCAATCACTAAAATGTTTTGTAAATACAAAATCTTTGTTAGTCTTCAAAATCTTGGAGACACATACCCTATAAATTAATTGATTATATGCTTGGTTTGCCATATATAAATACATGTGTATTAAGATATTCCACATGTATATCACTGCCTTTGATCAACTGAGTTTACTATGTTGAACAAGAACTTAGTTTCTGTCTTTATCTTCAAGAATTTATGTCCAGGTTTTGTTGGTTGAGCAATAAAAAAAGCTTTTGACTGTATTGGACATCAAAAGTTGGTGTGGAAGAGGCTTCTATGAGGCTGATTTTAGATGCGTGTCATTTTTCTGATGAGTAAATAAAATTAACTTTCTTATCTTCACAGATGCTTGGACTTGATGGATCTCTGGTTTTTTTAGTAAGTGAAATCCTGCATTTCAAAAATTTCTATAGAAGTTTTTTTTTTTAAAGTAAATGTATTTTTTAAAATTACATCATTCTATTTGAAGTCCCTATTTTCGTATGATGTATGTTCTTTAAAGAGAGACTTTCATATGATGTCGTGTTCAAGCAGACTGTCTTTTTAGGAGTTTCGCAGAGTAGAGTTGTGTGTGGCATAAAAGTGGAATTTCTTAAAAGACATAGGTAACTTTGGATCACGTACTCTACTGTAAATAAAAAGTAGAGCCTTTAAAAAAAGCATACACTGAAAATACATATCTGTTCTAGCCTTAAGTTTTGCTCTTTATGTTGTGATTGAAATAGTGTCCTCATTCAGATTTCTCTGATTTGCCCTAATACCACCAGAATGCACTAGTGAATTCTTAGTGTAAACTAGATTTTAAAATTTAAGATCTTCACTTATGTTTCTTGATTTTATTTAGGGTTGAGGTTTTCTTTTTCCTGTTCCTCCCTAGAATTTTTCCCTTCTTGAATATTATTTTAATTAATATCTGTATCAAATCTTTTTTTTAAATCTTCACAATAGTCAGTCTATCTTGTGGAGCACATATCTTTTAAATTGGTTCCAAAAATCTTTATGATAATTTAGCAAAGCACTCCTAAAAAAGCTGTTGGCTTTTTAACACTTGTCTGTGGGTGAACCCATGTTGATTATCTCCCTGACAAACTCTTACATATATAATGCATATCTTCCAGTGGGTTTTGTCATAGCTTATTTGAAGGGCTCGCTCTGCTGCCCGTCCTACCTGACTGTTGGAGATGCCTAGCTCTGACTTCAGGATCAGGGGATAGAGAATGCAAAGAGTCGATGGCAACAAAACTTTAACCCATCACAGCTACATTCATTGGGTATCATCTGCCAGATCACTTATTTTTAAAAAGAGAAGTCATTTATATTTTAAAGAGGAAAAAATTATCTGTGCTCTCTTCCAGCAGTATAAATTTTACTTTATTTAATGTGTGAAAGAAATATAATTCCTAAATATGAATGTGTTTCTTGGATACTGTAGTGGATAAATGTCTCATGTCTGAAATAAAATGTCTCATATTTTAATGTAGCGTCTCATGTTTAAAGTAATGTAGTTTATTATGTCATTAGTGACTGACCTTAATTAATAATGTCAAAAGAATTACAATTCCAGTGTACTTATGGCTGAGTTCACATCTTAGCTAAAAGTAATATTAAAAAACAGAGACGCGCTGTCATTTCTAGAGTGAGAGCTGTCAGTTTTGTTAATGGGTTTCTTGTGACAAAGTCTAACTGTTAAAAGCTCAGATGAACGTTTTCTCTTTTATAAAACCAATATCCACATACATTTCATAGAATTGTTTTTAAGGGTGAAACTATTTATATTGATTTTAAAATAAAAGCTTATTTTTACAAAATAAGGATATTAAAGCCAATATAAGTGCTCTTATCTAGGTACATGTCCATGAACGTAAACAGATGCTTTCATAATCTGTCCTCCATGTTTTGGTCTTTGTGTTAGAGCAAATTTCTTGACTCTAACACGAGATGCGCTAGTTCTGGTAATAATAGGCAGTTGAAATAAGAAGTTTAGATATAAAAGTAAAGTAACTTATCTAAATGACTGATATTTATGTACTGTTTCCTTGTCGTCTTCCTCCCTCCTTCCCCTGTACTCCTTGCAGGAACATGTCTTTTGGGTGGTATCTTTAAATACATTGTTCATACTTGTGTTTGGTAAGTATCATTTGCTCTTAAGTTTAAAAAGATCCTTCTTTGTGAAGTGATAATGCAGGTTAATTTTAAGGCTGTTCTCAGAATAAATGAAGTTGTGACATCTAAAAATGGAACCACAAACTAACTGGGAATATGAATAATAAATCTTTATTGCTTCTAGTTTTGTCATTTTAATTCCTTTAAGTGAATAGGTTTAAAAACAGGAAATCTACCAAAAGCTTAATGTCAGCCAAAGCACAGAAAATAATATTTGTTTGGAATACTGTTAAATTAAAGCAGGAACCTCCTGGAATTTAGCTTATGAGCAAATGCAGTACTTTTAGGAATGGCTAGGATGGTGGGGTTTTTTTCCTTATAGTTTTTGCTAGATATAGTTAAATCACTTTTTCCATCAAGAATCCATTTTTGGAGCTCAAAATTGGGAGCGAGGGGGGCGTGCAAGAACATAGCTGACTGTGTAGAGTTGTCAAATGTGCTTTCATGTTGTGTCCAAAATTACTACGGAACAACTTTCCTTAGGTCATACAACTTAGACTGACGTAAATTTTAGAAAATAGTAAATTCTAATCAGTGGTGTATTTTACTTTATTTTCTATTCTCCTTCCTGTAGATGCTGAAGCTGAATTGCAACTTTAAATGTTTGCAAGACTGTTTCTATTTCTAGTATAAGATAGGAATATTTCCATGTTCTGGTTCCATGTATAGTTAGTGCTAGGAAAATTTCTTGGACATAAAATTTGTCACAGCTTAAAAAACCAAAAACAAACAAACAAAAAAACCCCACCAAACTCCCCAAACCATAGGTTTATATTTCTCAATCATTTGAACCCTAAAAGAAAAGGGTAAAATGCCTGCCTTATTGTAAGTAGCAGTATAGCAGTAAGCTCCCCTTTGAGAGTGTCTGGAATTCCTATTTTATATTTACTGCTTATAATATGTAGGGTAACTTTGCATTTCCACTCTGGTTTTACTGCAGAAAGGAGGGTAACAAATTTAGAATTTTTTTTTTTCTTTTTTTTAAGACCCTCCTGAGAGGCATTAGGCTGTGATTCAGATTTTTTTTGTTTTGTACCTTACACCTGTTGAGTGACACGGGAAAATAACAGCTCTTCCCTGTGCCTCAATTTTGCCCGTTTTGCTGCTAACAGAAGATTCTGGATTATGGTGCTTGAGCTCATTAGTGTTGTTAATTTGACACAACCGTGTGCAGAAGCAGCAGCATTTCAGTGACAAGATAGAGCATTTTATACACTTGAAGAGATACCAGGCACAAAATTTCACTTGCTCTGAGTTATAAGTTTAGAAAGGGATTGGTTATGTTGCTTTGGTTTTTTGAGTGGTCTTTCTTGGCAGAAGAGTTTGAGCTTTAAAAACTGATGTCATACGGTAGATAAGAAATTTTTGCTGCAAAGTAAAGCTCGCAATACTGAACCAGTGATTTCAGCATCTAGTTACTGAAACGAATCAGCAGATCAAAAGAAAATAAAAAGAATTATCATGTATATTTAATTCACAAGAAACTATGAAAAACTATAATTGTTCTAATAAGAGTTGGAAAATACTTGAATTATTTCTTTCTGATAATTAGTCTATTTTAGTCTCTAGTTATCATAAATTAATTAGGTTTTTTAGCTGCTATAAAATTTAGGCTTTTTTAATAAGTAGATAATAACTATGAAATTTCTAAATCCTTGATTTAAATTCAGTAATAAGTGAGTAATAAGAATAATTAATAAGGTTGTCATATAGATGTGTTTTCGGTAGCTCTAAGTGTGCTTTAACAAGTGGGAAACTAACAAGTAGAGAAGAGAAGGGGAGTGACTTTCCCAAGCAAGCAAGCAGGAGATCTGGGAATTTAATTTGTGCCTCTCAAGCCTATTTTTAATATCTTTCCCACTAAGTAATACTGCCTAATTTACAACTGCCAAATGTCTAGTTATTCATAATTACAGTCCTGGTGAGTTCAAATGTCACAGGAGGTACTTTCTAGAAGATTAAAACAGAAGGAAAGCATTTGGAACCTTAATTACTGATCCAGAAATTCTATGATGTTCTCTTGGATAAGTTAATTAAGTTCGACTCTAATTCATATTTTCTATAGCTCATTTTAGTACTCACAGAGGAGTTTTACTCTTTCATGCTCTTTATTAAAAGGGGTCTATTAGAAATTATCTTTTAAAGAAAGTTATTTAAAAAACATTATAAACTGTGCACTATAATCTCATAAAACACTGTCAAAAAGATATGACTTAAGTCATGAGTCTGATACCTGTAGGAGTCATGAGTGTGATTTTTTTTTTTTTTTTTTTTTTGGTCTCACTTTCCTTTCTCTTGTTCTTACTGGGCAGGAAGTGCTCAAGTCCTCCCTTTATCTTTTACATTTTTGCTATTCCCGGTAACTGCTGGTTTCTCTGAAAGGGACGTAAATTAAAACTTTCTGATCACTGATTAGGGTAATACAAGTCCTGCTG